AACTCATTTTTATTGTGGAGACTAAATAGTGCATGTGTTAGACTAATTAGCATGCAGATCAGGTCTGAGTTTAGGGGGGGTGTATATAAGGAGAGGACATTCGTTGAGACGACGACACAGTGACATTGTCATTAGCTTGAAGTTAATTAGTAATTAACGGCGCTATTTCACTCAGGCGCATCTCCTGCTCCTCTGACAGGCTCTTTACTCCTCCATTGCGACGAAAACCAATAATGCGCGCAGGGGGCTGTTCCTCTGTCACTTTCCGCGTGAGTTAATTAAGGGCTTTGCCACGATCCTTAAGATATGTAAAAGCTGTGGTATTATGGCATGTCACAACCAGCTGTGTAAAATTCAATAATATCCCGAAAACATACAGTGCCCTACCTCAGGTTTGATGTTGTTTAAATTCACTAAATCAAACTAAATAAAAAGATTAGTAATAGGACAAATTTTTATAATTTTTTAGAATCATTTATATTTTTAAGATTAGATTGACAATAGATTTTAAATTACTGTTAAATGTCTATGCTAAACATCATCATAATCTCTCACGTGTTGTTTATTTATACAGCATGTAGTATGTAGTTACTATAATGGACTGTTGTGGCATGTGGATTGAAAGCTGATGGATGTGTTAATAAACGTGTACACATGTGAAATAAAACCCACGTACAGCCTTATTTCTCCCCACTTCAACTGTATATAGCAATGCAAGCATTTTAAGCATGAGACCTTCCCATATACAAAACACTGGAGGACTCAGTCTTTTTTCTGAACACAATGACCATTTTAATCACACTATATCTTTTCCAACAGATCTCAAATAATGTATATATGTAATATTTTAATTATTACATTTAAATATTTATCATTTTTAATATTATTTAAATATTATTTCTAATATTTCTAATATTTTAACTTCAACCTTCAAAGTTTTTTGTCAGAATTTTTACTGTTTGTCAATTTGATCTCATAATTTTCCTCTTTGTCATAATTATGATTTTTTAAAATCTCATAATTTCAACTTTTTGTCAATTGTTTTTGACAAATTTGACTTGTCATCATTTCAGTTTTTAACCTCTTAGTATCTCATACTTCCAACTTTTCATAATCATAATCATGACTTTTTAATCTCATAATTGCGATTTACCCAAGCATGATTTTTTTTCTTCTTGAAATTGGCTTCCATATATTTACCTTGATTTTTCTTTATTTTTCTCACATATATCAAAATGTCAACTTAGCTAATAATTGTGGAAATGATGACACAATTATCATAATTTGTGTAAAATTAAAACAAATCAATTTCAGACAATACATTTTTTATTAAAATAGTTCTGATAATCCTAGTTTGTTCATTTGTTCATTCATTCATTCATTTATTTTGTAATAATATTTGTACTATGGATTTTCATTGTGTGACAAGGATAAAACAATACAATTTCATCTGTAAAATGGCAGGAGAATGCAACACTGTGAACTATTGTATGCACATACTCACACACACACACACACACACACAAACAAACATACATCCACACATCAGCAGAGATCTGGATGTTGTCACCCATCACTCAAATGATCTGGACATTAACCGGATCAGACTCTGAGAGCCTGAGGACATTATTCTCTGCAGTACTCTCAGAGTACTACAGTCTTTTGCACAAATATGTGCTTCAAAGTGAGGAAATACCCAATGAATACTGGTGCGACAGTAACTAAATGCTGTTTTCGTTACTAAACATTCGGTGACCTGAATTACTGAATGGCACGTTCCACAAATACAGTATTTTGTACTGAGAACTTGTAGATATATTAGATTAACTATTACCAAATAAAATGAACCTAACATGAAATCTAAATATCTGTTCTCTTAAATCTACAGATCCTTCCTGGAGCCGCATGGAGCACCTCTCATCTTCAGTTGTGACACAGTGTCGCCCACTTTGCCCCAGGCCCCTGATCTCACCCCAAATCCCACCGCCACGGTAAGCGGCATCGCCATCTGTCTCTATGGTAACCTGAGAGAGTCCCGTGAGAGGGGTGACGGATGCCTGGCGCACGTACACATTGCCAACTCACCAGCATGGCACGCAGCGACCTGCCATATGGTACCATCCCATATATCTGCGACAGAAGCAGAGGAAGACCTGCATGTCCATCCATGCTGATATAGCTCTGGAATTACGACAACAGTGTGAACGACTATTTGCCGCAATATGGCTCTACAAGATTCATTAGCGCACTAGGCTTTCCAATACAGGCTACTTGCAGGCATACATTTTGGCTGCTCGGAATAATGAGCTCCGTGAAAGTGTCTGTTAATATATGTAGATGATCAGAACTGAAGTATACTAAAGAGGCTGTGTGGAAGTTGATGGTTGGATGCAGTTGGTGAAGTTTCCAGACTGGAAACTGAGGTGTAATGATGCTACAAACAGTCGGGAGGTGCTAGCCATGACACTCCAGTTAAACGCACACATATGTCCACCCTCGCACTTTCAATTACGCGCATAAAAGGCCTCTTTTCAGCATTTAAATCTCTGTGCCAGACACAGTTAGCTGACTGAAAACCTTTAAGTGAGGTAGGCCTACTACGCCACACTATTTTCTGGACTCTGCTGCCCCCTGGTGGTGTGGCTCTCAGTGCAACTTCAAGATGTCTTGGATCACTCTGAAGAAGGTGTGGTAAACACATTTCCCTTGAAAACATACTTTTATATTTCCACAAAATACACTTACAAATACAGAATACATCATTTAGATTGTTTTACAAGCAATATGGATTGGTTCGGTTTTCAGTAAAACAATTTTGACTACCTCAATTTCTATAGGCCTACTTTTTAATGTCATAATTATGATTTACTTAAGTATGATATTTTCTTATGTAGCTAAAATGGGCTTCCATTATTTACCTTGATTTTCTTTATTTTTATCTCAGATTTCCTCTCAAGCTCTTAACTGACACTGTTGTCTTCTTGTTAGCCAATAGTTTAGCTAGTCATTGTGGAATTTATGGTAACAGTCATAACTTACTTAATTATTCTAAAAACATTTCAGACAATATAAAAAAAATTATTTAGTGATGACTTGCTCTTTGTTGTAATTATCATAGTTCAAAAAATAATATAAATAAATAAATACACAAAACAAAACAGCTATGGATTTTCACATTTTAAAACATTTGAGACAAGGGTAAAACTAAAATTAAAATGTAAAAAAAAAATGGCAGGAGTATGTAACATTGTAAACAATTGTTTACACATGTGCACATAAACACATCATCTCTTGGCTCACTTTGTTGGAGGTGTAAATTAAAACAAAACATTTTCCGCTTGATTAAAATATAGTTTTATATTTCAGCAAAATATGCTTACAAATACAGAATACTACATTTACATTGTTTACATTTGTTTTTAATGTGACATTTGTCTTGAAAATAAGATCACAATATGAATTGATTCAGTTTTCTGTGAAACATATCTTTCATCCTCAATTCAGGATGCTAGGACACTGCATTAATTCACAGATCATCTATCGTGTTTACTAGTCTTGAGTGAAATAATTATAAGGAATGACGCAAGCATAATAAATATGCAAAATTTCTTCTTCGCTACACTAATGCAAGTTATTGTCAGCTGTGATAATGGAACAAACCCCACAATCATAATCCAGTTATGCAGAACAGTCTATTGTAAACCAATAACACTTTAAAGATCAAATTAAACCGCATTAAATAGAACGGAACAATATTTATGAGAGATGGCATTTCTATAAAGCTGCATCAGTCAAAACAAGAACACACGACAGATCAGAATCCAGAAAGTGAGGTAGGCCTACTACGCCACACTATTTTCTGGACTCTGCTGCCCCCTGGTGGTGTGGCTCTCAGTGCAACTTCAAGATGTCTTGGATCACTCTGAAGAAGGTGTGGTAAACACATTTCCCTTGAAAACATACTTTTATATTTCCACAAAATACACTTACAAATACAGAATACATCATTTAGATTGTTTTACAAGCAATATGGATTGGTTCGGTTTTCAGTAAAACAATTTTGACTACCTCAATTTCTATAGGCCTACTTTTTAATGTCATAATTATGATTTACTTAAGTATGATATTTTCTTATGTAGCTAAAATGGGCTTCCATTATTTACCTTGATTTTCTTTATTTTTATCTCAGATTTCCTCTCAAGCTCTTAACTGACACTGTTGTCTTCTTGTTAGCCAATAGTTTAGCTAGTCATTGTGGAATTTATGGTAACAGTCATAACTTACTTAATTATTCTAAAAACATTTCAGACAATATAAAAAAAATTATTTAGTGATGACTTGCTCTTTGTTGTAATTATCATAGTTCAAAAAATAATATAAATAAATAAATACACAAAACAAAACAGCTATGGATTTTCACATTTTAAAACATTTGAGACAAGGGTAAAACTAAAATTAAAATGTAAAAAAAAAATGGCAGGAGTATGTAACATTGTAAACAATTGTTTACACATGTGCACATAAACACATCATCTCTTGGCTCACTTTGTTGGAGGTGTAAATTAAAACAAAACATTTTCCGCTTGATTAAAATATAGTTTTATATTTCAGCAAAATATGCTTACAAATACAGAATACTACATTTACATTGTTTACATTTGTTTTTAATGTGACATTTGTCTTGAAAATAAGATCACAATATGAATTGATTCAGTTTTCTGTGAAACATATCTTTCATCCTCAATTCAGGATGCTAGGACACTGCATTAATTCACAGATCATCTATCGTGTTTACTAGTCTTGAGTGAAATAATTATAAGGAATGACGCAAGCATAATAAATATGCAAAATTTCTTCTTTGCTACACTAATGCAAGTTATTGTCAGCTGTGATAATGGAACAAACCCCACAATCATAATCCAGTTATGCAGAACAGTCTATTGTAAACCAATAACACTTTAAAGATCAAATTAAACCGCATTAAATAGAACGGAACAAAAGCAAACTAGCAGTTTGAAACAAAAGCATCCTTTAAAGATCAGAAACCATTCTCAACAGCAGACAGCTGAGATGAAGAAAATGCTTTAAAGGATCAGCCAATGACAAGATGACCTAGCACGTTTCATCTAATGACAGTAACGCTCTTCAAATTGACACAAACTCCAATTCTGCAGTAACAAACTGTAATCTCTATCACACTCAGAGATGTCTGAGACGAGGTATTTTAAAATGTCATGCAATGCCATAACAAATGGTATTAATAATAATTGAATAAACACTGTCAGTAATCAGACTCTCGAACTCTAGCGTTTGGTCTTCATCTGATTAAATGGATGGTGTATTGCAGGTTTTTGAACTGCTTTGGTCGCAGTAATGATGATATTAAAGCAACTGCTACCATAAACCAACACAAATGCTACAGGGTGAAATAGAAATGAATGAACGCAAAATATTCAGTAACACACTTCATACTGTGGCTCCTAGTTATCTTTAACAGATATCCTACAGCTTCTCCTAAATTCTCTTCAGCCAAAGAAAAGCCAAACATAAACTGCTGATTATGTCCCTCTTCAGAAAGGTTTCTGACAGAGTCTGTCATTTCTGCTGCTCTGCTCCCGTCATCTGTGCTCTCAGATGTGGATGCTGTGGTAACGGCCCTTCGCTAGATCTATGTCCACTCTGCGAGCTTCTGCGAAGCTTAAAAATGTTCCTAAACCCAGCAGGTTCACTACAGTGATGAGCCCAAAAACTGACGCCCAGGAGCCAGTGGCCTCGATCAGATACCCAGAGAAATACACCATGATGACCCCTAACAAACACACACACACAACAGCATTAACACATACAGCACACTAGCAATCCTCTTAAAAACTGAGCTTGAGTGCTTATTTCATTTGAAATTATTAATATCAAATTTACATTTATAAAATATCAATGTTTTATACTATTCTTACCTGTAAATGCTCCACAGGTATTCATTACTCCTGAAAGAAAAAAAAATTACAGATTTAGAAAAGACAGTCATATTGCTCATTGTAAAATTACAATAAATCTATGCACACCAAAAATGATAATTCTAACAATAACTACAAAGTTTGAAAAATTGTCCACACCGCAGCTACAACGGTACCGAGATAGAGGAACATTAACTAAAACTATTAAAAATCATACTTGAAAATAAAATATTAAAAAGAAAAAAATGAAACTTAGAAAAAAAAGTGTAAGTACTGACAAAAAAAGTTTTTTTTTGTGAAAAACGACAATCTAATTTAGAAAATTTAAATGAAAACAGAAAATATAAAAACTACTTCAAATTATTAATAAAAACTATAAAAAGTATTAATGATACTAATAAAACCCTGGCTACAATCACTTTCAGAGCTTTTTTTTCAGCTGATGAACAATTAAAGCCATTGACAGCCAATCAAAAAAAACCTTCCTACTGATGCATGCACTTTTAATAAACAATGTTATTGTCCACTGGTGTAAAAGCGAATATAGTTAGCCTTAAGTGTGCAATCGCAGTTTGGGTTAAAGTAGAGAGTATGCTACATACCAAACAGAGCCCCCGCACAGGATGGAGCGAGATCCTGAACATTGACTGAAACCCCACTAGAGAGAGACAATTACATTGTCGCATTTACATTCATGCATTTGGCAGACACTTTTACATACATCTTATCAGAGCTTGCATGACCTGGAAATCAAGCCATGACCTTGCACCATGTTTGTTTGTTTTTTTTGTTTTTTCAATGCATGGGTAAGCAGTGAGTGACATTACCTGTGGCTGAATGTGGTGAGGCCCATAGTAGCAGACACGAAAGCCACAGCTGTGGGGAAGGTAGTGGTCCCACACAGGAACAGAGTAAACACACTGGAGACGCCCATAGAGAAGAACTGAAAAACACAATAATACATAATATATTCACAGTTTTTGAAAGAAATTAATACTTTTATACAACAAGGATGCATTAAATAGATCTCAAGTGACAGTAAAGACATTTATTGTTACAAAAGATTTCCATTTCGAATAAATTATGCTGTTTTGGACTTTCTAAAAGAATCCGGAAAATATATCAGTTTCTACAAAACTTTTAAGCAGCACAATCGTTGTTGATAATAAGAAATATTTATTGAGCAGCAAATCAGCATATTAGAATGATTTCTGAAGGATCATGTGACACTGAAGACTGGAGTAATGATGCTGAAAATTTAGCTTTGCAATGAATTAATAAATTCTAATATAATATTGTAATATTCCAAAGCGCAACTGTATTTTTGATAAAATGAATGCAGCCTTGGTTGCACATAAGAGATTGTATATTTCAAACATACCTGCATGAGTTTTCTAACTGACGCAGTATCAAAACCTTTAAAAGACAAAGAAAGGAGCGAGAGTATTAGTGTGGCAGCTGAGGAACATTTAACCGTTTTAGAAGTCAATTGCAATCATGTAGACTTGACATTTACAACACAGTAAAACTCAAACAGACTCGTAACAAGGAACAGGGAATATTTCATTGCCTTTCTAATTGTCTACCAAAAAGACATGAACATGAGGAACATACAAACTCATATCTTTGAACAAGAAACGGCGAGTGTATTTGAGTAGTATGTGCGGTTTCGTACCCTGACTGATTAGATGGTCTGAAAGGCAGCCACTAAACAGGGAAGAAGGGATGGCCACAAACCATGGGATCACGTTAAACACGCAACCCTGAGGAAACACACATGCAGACATACACAGGAACAGGCAATGAATAGGCGAGTCCAATGCATGTGATATACACTTTTCTGAATAGGAATCAAACACACACTCTGATGTGATGCGATGTGAAGCCCCCTGCTGGACCACAACAGCATCATACTAACATGACCAGCTCTCTCTCCTTCACAGAAATTAATTACTGGAGACTGTTTTTCTCATATATTTTTTTGCTTTGACACAGATCGTGTTCTCGCACGCTGTCTGAAAGAGCGTAGTTCAGTTTACCTTGGCATCAGGGAAGGTGTCCTTGAAAAACGTTGGCAGCCATGACAGTAGTGTGAAGAAGGTGCTAGCGGTGCACAAGTGTGTAATAATAACGGCGCTGAAATTCAGACAGGAGCGTTTAGAATGCATTTGAAATCAATGTCACCAACACAGCATGTTTATAATTATGTAGATGAAGACACTAGTCATATCAGTAGGCTAATAAAAGTGGTTTTATTTTACATCTCTTTAATGGAGATAAGGTCATCTCATATGGGTGCCGTCATAGTGCGATCACCTGACCAAATACTAAAATTGGGGGAAAATAAGAATGGGGGAACCCCCATACCTAGAGACTTTTGCTTGTTGAATAAATCAATCAAGACTAATAGCACATTTCAACAATGGCATCAGTAATCAAAAAATGTTTGCATTATTTGCATGATGCTGGATCACACCAGTGTCAATGTACAGGATTTTATATTATATAAATAATAAAACAATAGTTATTTTTAATAAAAAAAAATGAAAGTGGGTAATTTAAGAATGCAAAAAAAATAATCTATTCATGAGTCGGCAGTCTTGTTGTGTTTATACTTGCACTCTTGCTAATTATTGTAACTCAGACTTTCAGGAAAATGCTTTTTACAGAACGACTGAAAGAGTTGTCAGAAGCTTAGCGATGGTAGCGTTGAAGTCATGTGACCTTAGTGTAGTTTGTTTATAGCTGACATTTAGCTTTTTACTTCTGGTGACTGTATTTAGGCTTCAGAATTCATCAGTTGTGTTCATTTGTAAAGGTTATGATGAACAAAATGTATAAGGATCAAAAACATTTGTTGGTCACAGAGCTTATTGTCTGCAATAATCCAAAAGCCAATGTAAAAATCCTATTGGGTTTTTGTCAAGGGAATCAGAGCGATGCGAATTTCTGGGCTGGCCTACAAAAGTTCATCACTGCAGCACTCTACTGCTACAATAACAACATTAGTAACAACAGTTACTGCTAGAGCACTCCCTCTAAAGCACACTCAAGCATAAGCAGCATTTTTAAATAATTTTATAATTATCATCTACTTTTCCTTATACAATAATGTAATTGTTAAACTAAAATGTTACAAAAAACATCCAAGTCATGTGTGCAGTCAGAAACACTCAGCCACGTTTAGCTGACGGGACAGAGTACTGTGTTACTGTTTCGGAGTGCTCTATATATAGACAGACATGGAACGGATGTGAATCAGGCCTTTGTGGGAGCTCAGTAAAGACCCTTTGTTCAGCATCCATGCTCTCTCTCTCTCTTACACACACACACACACATACACACACACACACACACACACACACACAGTATTCAGGTGCTAATCTTACCACACAGCTGGCTGTCTGAAGAGACGCAGCCAGTTTCTCTTGGACAGTTTGGACTGGGTCCCAGCGCTGCCCAGAGACTCCAGTGTGATGATGGGACCTGACAAACACAAGCACGATCAGTTTTTAAACAAACAGTTTAAACACAGAACACCTGTTAAGGAAGGAATAACAGCACAGCTACAGTCTCTGTTCTGCATGGAGTGTATAAATACACACATACTGCACCTCAAATACTTGTTAATTATCACTGAAATATTTACCCACATTTTAGCCAAACTACAATAAATGGCTTACACAGTGTAATTTAAACTTAAATTGTGACATTAGCTTATTACACAGCTCTCTAGAATACTTGATTTTGATTAGGCAATCATGGAAATAAATATTTTAGAATGTCTACGATGTGGAATTTTTACAAAGGAAAACACCATCAAATGTTTGGGGTCAGTAAGAATCATTTAAAGAAATTAATACTTTTATTCAGCAAGGATACATTCAACTGACTAAAAGTGACAGTAATAACATTTATAATGTTTTATATATATTTGTCAATATGTTTATATATATATATATATATATCATCAGAACTCAAAAGCAGCACAGCTGTTTTGAACATAGGTAATAATTACAAATGTTTCTTGAGCATCAAATCAGCATATTAGAATTATTTGGAGTAATGGCTGCTATATATATATGATTCTCAATGTAGTAGATGCATATTTTTGGCAGTTTAATGTGTTTTGTGGCCATGGACATAGACATTCAAAGGTTTGGGGTCAGTAAGATTTTTTCTTAATGTTTTATGCACCGGGGCTGCATTTATTTGATCAAAAATACAGCAAAAACACTAATATCGTGAAATCTGATTACAATTTAAAAGAGCTGTTTTCGGTTTCATAACATAAAACACAACAAACTGAGACAGACTAAATCCAGAAGAACTGTGGCAATGTCTCCAAGATGCTTCAAGAGACCTACCTGCAAAATTACCTGAAAAACTATGTGCAAGTGCACCTAGGGCAAAAGCTGCTTTAAACGCTAAGGATGCTCACACCAAATGTTGATTTAATTTAGTTAATTGATAGTTGATTGATATTCACAGCATTTTTACACAAGTCAAATGCTTACAACTTTTAACAGTACTGGAGCTTTGCAGGTAGATTTCTTGAAGCATCTTGGAGGCATTGTCACAGTTCTTCTGGGTTGAGTCTGTCTCAGTTTGTTCTGTTTCTTCATGTCATTCCAGCAAATGGCAAAATTAATGTTTGGAAATGTAAACTGATATTTCCTAATTCCTGATTTTCCTAATGACACACTACAGCAAAATATTTAACTTAAAATTTGACTTAAACCCATTTTAAAACATTTCTTTAGCTGGTGAAAATACTAGTATACTAATAATTTTGGCCACCACTGAATATATATATATATGAACTGTTGGTAAAAGCTCAAAAACATGATTATGGTCTTTAATATCCCAGGACAGAAACACTTGAAGATGTTGTGTGAGTTGACCCAAACAAACAGTATTTATAAACGTATTCTTAATTAGTCTTAAACAAAACTAGGAAACTCTTTACTTTGTGTATAATGCATATGCATACTGTACATTGTAATGCATTGCATCTTTTCATAAATAATTGTGACCAAAGTTAAAAAGTCTCTTTGTTACATCTGTTTTAATGCATCATACTTTCTAAAAGTGTAACAATGAATAGATAAGTATTATTATTCATGAGATCTTACAATGTAATATAAGGTGCATTACAAGTCATATTAATGTGTTAAAACTACACGATGATGCATTATATATATATATATATATATATATATATATATATATATATATATATATATATATATATATATACACACACTGTGTTTTTCAGCCCCGGTGCACATAAGAGACTACTTTCAAAAATATTAAGAAAAAAATAATCCTGACCCCAAACCTTTGAATGTCAGTGTATTTGGCCACAAAACACATTAAACTGCCAAAATATGAATCTACTACATGAAAAACACATTGAGAATCATTTAGGAATTGTACCATGATTCTCAGAATCAAAATCTAATTATGAGGTGCCAAGAGGTTCCCAATGCTCACGAATGTTTGTGCTTCTGTCCACCTTATTCTTCAACGCGGAAGTAAGCTGTTTTCGGTGAATGTGCAAGATTTCCAGTTCATTAGCCACCATAGGGAAATAACCAAAAGAATAACAACGTGCAGTAAACGGTAAAACTGTTTGCACTAAACCAGTGTGTTCATAATTAAGATAATACATTAAAATAATATGGTAAGACACACCAATTTGCAATATCAAGCAGCAAAACGAGCTGTTTTGTACAGCTAAAAATAGCTGGAAGTGGATGACACCGGAAGCCAGACACATTCATTTTACAAATGGCCGCGACCGCTCTTACGGGAAAAATAAGGTGGATATTCTGGACATACCTTCTCCTTTGAGCAGATACTTCCACATGCAGTACGCCCACAACACAGACAGAAGCCCAGAGACGTAGAACACACTCTCCCAGCCATACAAGTCCAGCATCAGAGAGCCTACACCTCCTATCACCAGAGTCCTACACACACATACACACAGTTACACAAACTCAATCTGAAAGACATCCGTTACATTTCTAAACGTAACAGAGAAAGCAGACACAGTCAGAGATCTGACACTAACCCCAGGTATGAGCCACTTCCTACGGTGCTTATGAGGAAGCCCCTCTCACTCTCCACAACCTTCTGAGAGCACAGACTGGCCAGAGATGGGTAGTGAACACCTGAGAACACCAGGATAACAGAAAGAAAACAAACACTCTTTTAGTGCATAGCCATTAGTGGATTATTACGGTTTTCATATTATGACTAATAACACACAAACAGTCAATGTTATAAATTTATACCACCTTGTTAAAAAAAACACTAAGTAAAATATGTTGTTGTAGTAACCATTAAATAATGAATTAAAAATTTATATTTTTATATTGATTTATTTATTTTCTTAAATATTTATAAGTAAACATTTATTTACTTAAAAATAAATAAATTGCAAATTGTCATTCCTGGTGGAATGACCTGCCCAACTCAATCCGAGCAGCTGAGTCCTTAGCCATCTTCAAGAAACGACTAAAAACACATCTCTTCCATCTTTATTTGACCCTCTAATTCTAGCACTTTCTATTCTATTTTAATTCTACTTTATCTATTTATCTTTTTTATTTAAAAAAAAAAAAACTAGCAGCTTTCTATTTTTTTCTATTCTATCTACTTGTTTTTCTTTGTGTGTGTATATGTGTGTGTATAATAAATATATATAGATGTTGCTACGTGTACTGTGTTAGGCTAACCGAGACTTGTCATTTGCACTTATATATTGTTGCTCTTTTGTTAGTTTTGACTGCTTTTATTGTCCTCATTTGTAAGTCGCTTTGGATAAAAGCGTCTGCTAAATGACTAAATGTAAATGTTAATTAATTAATAATTATTTTTAGAAGTAAAAAATTGGCTGATAAATTATATTTTGGCCATTCTCGCACATTACAAATATTCACGTTGTTTTTTTATCCTGTACTGTAGAACGTGTAAGTACTATCGTATTGTAATATTACGTTTTGTACCCATCTCATAATTCTGACGTAAAGCTTAAAAGTTTATTCTGATTAGTAGCAGAAGCCTGGACAAGATAACGCCATTAATTACTTTTAACAAACTTTTTTATTTTTTATTTATTTAGTCATTTAGCAGACGCTTTTCTCCAAAGCGACTACTTTAATACTTTAATACTTCTATAACAAAAAACCTTAACTGTGGCATAGGGTTGTGCCGATAGATGATAGTAGGCTATCGTGTATCGACGATAGCAGATGTCTTTGTCGATAGTCAAGACGATATTAGGCTCATTCTCCTATTATTGTATTAAATTATAATAATAATAATTCGTATTATTTTTATTAGGTGGCCTATTATAATTCGGCTATCAAATTGCCCCGCTATTTTACTGCAGCACCGCATTTCACACACGAGCGCAATTGAGGATTAGAGCCTGTAGCCGGTGAAGGAGTCTCCAACCACAAACAGACGTACATCGTCTGCAGATATAAGCAGGGCCGTCCTTAGCTGACGTGGGGCCCGGTGCGAGGTAGGGAGCGGGGCCCCCCTCGGTCAGTTCGCGATCCGGTGGAGGGGCTTATATATGTGCAATATTTTAACCGAGCCCTCACTAACTGAGTTTAATGCCACATTTATGTTAGAAAGCATCTCATTCTTGTTTCTGTGGCGGTGCGTTGGGCGCACAGTCCGGAGTGCTGTATGACTGATGCATCCGTTCAATTTAACTTTACTCCAAATATATGAACTTACCCGTTTTAAATACTTTATATTTAACGTGTTCGTTTATGTCCAATATTTAGTGTTAAACTGTTGGTCTTTAAATTAAATCTACTATTGACGGCAAAGTTGTCACAGGACGCGCGGTATGACAGTTGTGTCCGACTATATATGAACTAGCTGTTTTAAATAGAGTATTTTTATATTTAACATGATATTTTATCAGTATGTTTGAACGTATATTTTTTTCGATTATTGGTGCTTCCATAGGCTCAATCTCACGCACCTGCTCGGTTTAAAACACCAAATAGTTATGCTATGACAAGTACAGAGAGTCTCTCTCTTGCCCCACCCATGCACTATAATATCGTGTATCGTCGATCTCACGGGCTGACGATATGACGATTTGAAAAATGACCATATCGCCCAACACTACTGTGGCACCATCTATGCTGGCAAAGAAATCAAAGTCAAACCCTTTATAGAAACGGCATATTTTATAGCAGGCCCTTGTCTTTTTACAGACCCCTTTCACTAGTTTTAAGAGAATACAACAGCAGTACAATGACATAAAGTGTAATTAACTTGCAAGGCAGAGCATGATAGTGGCTAGATTTCAACGCTTTGCCAACCACAGAACAATTATGCTCTGCTCCACAGCAAATGACCTATTCTCATAAAAAAGGGTCACAGTTTGCAGGAGGGAACATTTAGCAATTTGCCAGCAATCTGGAAGCAATGATTTATGAAACAAGATTCCCTAAACCACACTTTTCTGCAGTTTCCAGCAAACTACAGCCCCATTTTGAAAAACACTGAGAACAGCTGAATACCGTTTTGTAACTTTCTCCAAGCTTAAACTACAAACGGCAAATTCAGTATCATTAGATCTTAGAAAGTAAACAATCAGTACAGTAGGAAAGCATAAAAGCACAGTTGTGTGAAGTTCAGCTGGTTTTGTGAGGGTGCGGTCGCTCACCCTGCAGCAGGCCCATGAGGAAGCGGGAGATGGTCATGGAGACGATGGGCTGGGAGCAGAAATGGGCTAAGATTGGCGTGAAGGCGGTCATTGCTCCCCATGCTGCCGCTGACAACAGCAACACTTTCTCTCCTCCCACCCTAAACAAATAAACAAGCATTTATGAATCCCACATCAAATCCAAACAAGTTATTGCATTTGAATATACTTCTGAGCATTTCTCCAGCAAACCAGACATTCCACAGGGCTCGCAAACGTTAAAAACTTTGTAGCGCTGTTTCAGTTCTTAGATCTGCAGCATGGGACCAATGCAGACAAGCGATTCATTGCAAGCTTCATTTGCATCACCTAATTAATCATGTTAAGGTCCTATTTCAGAGCAGGTTGTGGCTCTCTGGTGGCCACTAGACTTGGAGTTCTGTAAAATTACTGTATTTTAGCTCACATGAGAATCATACTATGAACTCACCTGCAGTAAATTCTTTAATATTACTTGAATGTAAAATAATAATAAAAAAGCTAAACTACATCTAATCTAGGACACACATCCACTGCTGGCTGTTTGACAGTGTAACCAATGCAGACGCCAAAACTAGTTGCCTTATCACCCACAACCTGTTCAACAAATATTTAAAGCATTTTTGGCATCTGGCAACTGTGATGGTTTTAAAATAGAGCCACACCTGTAAAACAAAGACTGACGTCATATTAAAGTAATATCTGAATAGAAATGAATGCATCATGCAACTGCCCTTCCTTTCATACCTTAAAATCAGTTACCTTTATGCATTATGTGTTGTGATTCAGTGAAAATAAATGCTGTGCTACTATTAATGACGAGAAAGGGAGTCTTTCATTCAACACTTGTGACAACAATTGTGACCTACTAACTGTTGCCCAACTATACTTACAATTATTCACGTTCTATTAAATATGAACTCATTACAAATTTAAGAGCCTGGGAGAACTCAGGAAGGCTCCACTCTCTCTCTCTCTCTTTAAACAAGTAAACAAATAATGACATTTCATTTCTCGTTTTACTAACCTGTCACTGACGTAGCCTCCAAGGACCTGAGTGAAGCAGTAGCCCCAGAAGAAGCTGCCCAGCACCATGCCCGTCTCTCTCTTGGACCAGCTGAAGCGCTCTGCCATGCTCACTGCACAGATAGGCATGGCCACACGGGCACAGTACAGCAGGCACGTCCCCAGCAACAGCACCACCGTCCATATCCTCGCTACTGGCCTGCAGATAGACAAATACAACCCTCCAATCTTTACACCAAACAAGATTCATATGAGAAGATATTATAAGCCAAAGCACATAAATTACATTTCTAACTGGCAGGTACCTATCTAGGTTAATTTGCTTCAGATGCATTGACTAATGCTGATGCACTTAGTTCATTAACCTTTCTAAAAAAAAGATGACCTAAATAGTACAAAGTTTCACAAAGTTTATTTCAGTCCTCTGGTGTAGAACAAATGGTGACTGAGCACTCATAGATTGTTAATTTAATGTGTAATTTAATACTAATACATGCTTATTAATTTTCGCTTTTTGAATGAAACTGTTCACAAAGCTTGTTATCAAATGTTTCGAAACTAAATAACTGGAAAAATAGAGATATAACTAGCCTATATATATTTAAAAAACTGACATGAAAATTTTTAAATCATTTTGACCATTCACAATTTGCTGCCAAAATTGATTTAAACTTGTTTCAACGGTGATTGTGTCCTTGAATAAAGCGAATTTATGTACATAATATTGATATACATAATGTATTAATAGACTGTTTTATCATACTAATGTATTTATTTGAATTACCTTCATTTGTATTCGATTAATAAACATTATTTAGAGGAAGGTTTGGTGAGGTGGTCTCACCTTGTCCAGTTCTGACTCGACTCTGCCCACTTCTTCTGTGATCCAGCTTGTCCGATATTATCTGCGGGGTTTTCCTGAATACTGGCCAAATCTGGACAAGAGTTCTTTCCATGTTTTTGTAGAATTGCCATTCAACGCCAAATATATCTGTTTGTGACTATCCGCTCTGGTATCCTCTCGGGTCAGTCTGTGCGAGCGTGACAGGCAAAAAAGCAAAGCAATGAAAAAAATATGTTTCTATTCCAGTTTCCTCGCGGAAGCATCTCTTCATAACATACCTTCCGCATCCATTGCGCTCCGGCGACTGGCAGTAATGAGGCTTTCACAGCTGTTATAACGCAGCGGGAGGAAATTCAGCTTTCTCCTGACTCCTGAAGTGTTGATGATGATCCACGTGTCAGTTTCTTCTTTCAGCCACGCAGCTCCTCCAACCACTGCCTCTTCAAACCAGGAAGTAGAAATTCAGGCATGGTTTCGGCTTCGGCAAAATACCTGAATGTGAACTTTAGAACCTTATGCAAATATTTTAAAGAACAGGTTTAGCAGACGCAGCACCACTAAAGGTGTTGAAGTTATTACCGACAAACCGATGTAGCTGTAGCGATGTGAAGTCCGACTCGTGTTTGTGAGTCGATTCTTTTGAACAATTCGTTTAGAAACGGCTCACAAATACGATTCCCTTATTATTTTACGTCAATTTCACCACTATGTGGGTGGTTAAATACTGTAAACGTTCAAATAAGATTTAGTTTTCAGTTTTATGGTGTTTATTATACGTTAAACAACATTACAATTTATTTACATGTATTGACTGAAACCGTTTTGTACTTTTAAATTAACTTGAACTTTCTTTAAACTTCGTATGCATGTTGATAAAATGTCAGTCATAAACGAATCTATTTATTTTCTCTCCATCAGTAAACTCTTTGGTTCACTCCAGCTGAATCAAATTATTAATCTTTTTATTATGAGTCAGACATATCTGATAAAGAAAATTGTCATTATTATTAATACTTAAATAGTGAACGACTCTTTCCCTCGCTTTGTGAACCGGATCATCTGATTCATTGAAAAGATCCGACTCAAAAGAACAATTTGTTCAGTAATCGAATTTCGCCACATTATACACGAGAAAAGAATAGTCACGTCTAAGTTAATAACATGTCACCTGGACAAGCATGCACTGCCCAAGAAATAGACTTTTACAGGGTCTTACAATTCCAAGTTGCCATAACATGTTCTTATTCTGACTCATTTGAAGTTTAATCTCTGGTTTGCGTCTTTACCTACCAACCGCAAACAATTATCATAATCAGTCATAAGAGAGCCAAAGCGGGGCTTTCATTTGCCATTTTGATTAGGTAAAAAACACTGCCTGCAACATTTAATAGGGCATCACAACGTAAGTATTTGGCCATTGCATTGAACAACAGCAGCAATTTTGAAAATCAAATAGTTTGGGGATTTAAAAAAAATAATATTTAATACCTATGTAAAGCATCTGACTTCAGAAGCTTACAATTTGATCTCTGCAATATCTATAAATCACAATTGAATGTCAACGTAAGCAGGAATACTATGACAATGTACAGTAGAAAACAATGTCACATGACTTTATAACATTATAATGCAATAACATTAGTACTCAAAAAAGGGCAGATTTTCTTTGACAGGGCCCTTTAACACGCATACAAAATGTATACTTGTGCACTGCAAATAAAAGTTGTGAAAGCACACAGAACTCGTTCTCCGCATTGGTACAATCATTCCACTCTCCTTGACACCACTGTTGTGCCGTAGGTACCTCACATCAGTGGACAAAGTCAAACAGTTAAAGTTAAATCTAAATAATGTGGTTCAGTCCTCAACTATATTTGTAGACTTTCTGAACATTCACTGACAAAATAGATAATAATCCTCTGCAAAAACAAAATGGCTAAAATACAAACAACTCAGCTCAGCAAGTCAAACATTGTGGTAACAAAAATCACAGAAATCCATCTGCGATAAAAGTGTTTCCATTTTGGCTAGGAGTCACCCTTAAATCTTAATCTCAGTTCCACAGCCCATTTAATGCAAAGTCTCTGATAAGCAACAAGTAAACAAACAAAAGGTTGATAAAAGGATGTTGAGTGTCAGTCACGGTGTATAAATAGTTAAGGAAAGGGAAAGTGTCCGTTTTGTTCCCCGCAGAATGCAAACATAGAGATGCCGGTTCGTTTTCACTTGGGGTCCTCGATGGTGCCTTTGCTAAGATCTGTCATTTTGGGGTACTTGACTTTCTTCTGGTCCAACTCGTTCTGAGCCCACAGCAGCAGTTTGAGGAGTTTGGCAAGTTTTGGTGTCGACTCCCTGTTTTCATAGTCCAGCACTGCCTGGTTTACCTCGCTCCACACCTGTTATAGAAGACCACATGCTGTCAATTACTGGCAGACTGAATGAATGACGCCCTTCATTACCCTCTACAAATGCCATGATTTACATCAAATTAAATGTGGGGGGAGGTGGACTGACATCAGTGAAAAGACATTTCAGAAAGGCAAGTTAATACATTGAGTACAGCTATATATATATATATATATATATAAAAAAAATATATATTTATCAGGCTCCTATATTTATGTTCAGTTATTTAACTTTAATTGTATAGAAAAGGACCTATACATTGTCATTAGAGTAAAATTACTGAACCTAAACATAGCAGCCTGACAAAAATGCTAATTTTAGATGAAGATTTCAGATGGCACTTAGAGGTTTTTGCATCTGAACTCTTCATATACATATATATACTGGTGAATCATTCACAGTAACACTGGGAATGTACATTAAGTATAAGGGATCAATTTCACATTGACTTAACTTAATATTTACTTTTTTGCTTAGTGGCCGAAGTACTCTACTGTTCAAAAGTTTGGGGTCTGTACGTTTTTTTTTTTTTTTTTTTAAATGAATACTTTTATTTATTTTAGTAATTTAGCAGACACTTTTATCTTAAGACTTAAATAATACAGAATATATTAAATTGATAAAGAATGAAATTACAGCAAGAGACTTTTCATTGTTACAAAAGATTTCTATTTAAAATTAACACGGTTTCTTTTGAACTATTCATCAAAGAATCCTAAAAATAATGTATCATGGTTTTCATAAAAATATTAGGCCACAACTTTTTAAATGATAAAACTATTTTACAATATACAACACAACCAAATATAGCCTTGGTGGATATGAAAAAAAAAATCTTCCAGACCCCAAACTTTTAAATGGTTGTATAGCCTATTTAAATATGTAAAATATCTTTCTGTATATTTAACAAACATGGCCTCTTTAAGTAAACCAAACAGTTCTCTGCCCTCACACTGTACTGGCCTTGAAAGTGAACTTTGATGTCCTGCAGGGCTGGAATAGCCATAAAAAGCATTTAAAAAAAAAATATATATATATATATATATATATATATATATTTATTATTAAATGTCAATCCAAAATGGGATCAAAATGACAATGCCAATATGTAAAAAATTACCAACTGGCTGGTGGCAGGTGTTAATTTTATACCCTGCTTAATAATATATTAAAAATAGCATTATTTATAACGATAAGACAGAACAACCAACTTTACCTTCTGTCTCTGCATCATGTTAAGTAGGTCACCGAAGGGCGACTCTTCTGGGTTATCAAACGCCAGGAGTGCGAGGGTGCGCTCCATCTCTGTCAGACACTCTCGGCTTTCCTCTCCCTGTTCAGCCAGCTGTGTCTGTGCAAACTCCAATGCAGCCTCAGTTTCCCGCAGGCGAATCAACTCGATCAGGTGTTGTTGCTAAAGGAGGAAAGCAGATAAACCTTACTTGATGTAAATTGAAAAGCATTCCCTTGTGATTTAGCATCAGACAGTTGGCAGTTTGAGTCAACTCAACAGTACAACTTTTTTTTTTATATAATAATATAAATATTTATATAAACATTTAATATTAAGGTTAACAACCAGTTTACAAAACAAAAGTCCAACAGTGCACAACTTCGAGTGGGCCCAAGAGGTATTTGGACTTTTGGCCACATTTAATGTTGTTAGATTAGATACAACTTTTTAGTTGGTTCGTTAGGTTCTAAATGATAAAGCAATAGATCTGCGTTCCAAATGGAAGAAAGTATCTGCACACTTTTATTTTCAAATATTAGTGGAACACATCCACAGATAGTGTGATGAACTACAGTTGTAGTACAAAAAGGTATCATTTTTTTGCAGATGACAGTTTGTCTGATATGTTGTTATCTATGCAATGACATTCATACATTTGTAGGGTGGCTTCTGTGTCAAAATACAGCCCTCAAACATATGAAGATATGTAATATATGTCATAAGCCAGTTGTCATTAACCTTCTTTACCTGAAGATGAAAGTACAGATATCGGTTAGTGTCCAGCAGCTCAGGATGCAGACTGTTTATCAGCGCAATGGCCTCTTGAATTTGCCCCTTCAGCACCATCTCCCTAATTTTTATCCTTTCATCCAGAGAGTCCAGATCAACACTTGGTTCAATGCCTGATTCCATCCTGAATTTCTCAGCTGCCTCTTTAAACCCCTCTATGTAAAAAGAAACAAACAAATTATGACACAGATCTTCTGACACTTGTATTAAAGCTGCAGCGGAAGGTGAAAAAAATATAAGTGGTCAGTTGATCACCTACCTGTCACCAGATAATTCATAATGAGCCGATTCATGTCTGCCCGCTGAATATGAACATTATTTAGCTTTTCCATCCACTCCTCTCGTGTTATGTCCTCTGGCTTTTCAGCATAACTCATCATGAAGTGTTCTATATTGGCAAAAACATACATAAAAATTATATCTAATAAAAAATACGCACGCGTGTGTGCGAGTGTAAAAACATACTATTATGTTTACTTTTTAAAGATTTTAGTAACAGAACGACTAGGACAATACTACAACAAGCTATAGAAAACGACAACGAGTCAGCTAATACACAATGAGAATATATAAATGAACAAAGTTATGGAAATCAAGCAAGATTACATTTTCGCTTGTGATCACCGGAAGCTCTAATTATAAAGGCCTGTATCATAACACTGAAGCCTGTACCGCTGGAAAGATCACAACAGATTTAAAAATGTCCGTAACAACAAACACATATAACCGTTAATACACACAGACATTCTCCAAGCTTTTATATATTATCATTCGTCTTCGACACTTAAAATAACTTGTCGATTATGCTAAATATTTTTTAATTTTACCTGAATGTGTACACTGTAATCGCCAGCAGCTCGGGGAGAAAGGCCGTACTAAGCTCTCGCGGTTTTTAAGGAAAACGAGATTTCAGCGCTACCTCGTTTGGATTGGCTGCCGATCGAATGCAGTTTAATAGCGTCGAGGTAGAGGACTGCTTACATTTAAAAAAAAAATATATATATATATAATAATTTTAAAGTATTTTCAAAATAACTCAAATATTACGCTCGTTGTAACTTCTATTTATTTTTTTACTTTACTTATTTATTTTTGAATGTTTTCATAAGCCAGCACTTACCTTGGCATTATCTCACTATACCATGAATTGCCCAAAATCGTTTTGACACTGCAAAACACAGCAGCCTTTCAGTAGATCGCTTTACGGTCAGAACTGTGTCCGGTTGATTTGGTCATTTCGTCATGTAAACGGCTTCCTTTTTCGTTTCCGCCCATTTGTATATGTCTAAATATATATGTATAAAACATTTTTATTTCCCCCCCCTCCTCTCCTTGTCCTTTCTTTCAGAGTACTGCCCACACTCCAGTCCAGTAGGTGGCGCTAAATGCACTTTTCAGTTGGTTTGCCAACCGCCAATAAAATTTAAAGAAGAAGAAGACGTTTATTTTATTTTATGGGAACATAACGAAACAATACAGATTGTAAAGAAAATATTCAATAAAGAAATAACAATAAGAGAGAATAAGATCTGCCAGAGGAAAAAAGAAGGGGGAAAAGATAACCAAGTAAAAAAAAAAAAAATAGATAAAAGAAGAAGTTTCCGCCTATTTTCCTTTCGAGCGTGACGTCAGCGCACGACTCCCATTGACCGTTGAGCGGAGACGCTGCTCGCGAGCACAGGACGCCGTATCCGAGTCCCGCAGGCTGATTTACTCCTGCTTGAAGGCCGTTTATAGATATAGGAATTCATTTACGAACAACTGAGGAACTGCACTTCTACCTACGCTTCTCCCTTGACGGTAAGAAACGAGAACGCAGCAAGAGGAAAACCCTGTCTGTGCGCCTCAATCCTGCTACACATGCATGCTGCCCTTGCTCATGGATTAGTAACGTTACGGTTGGAGTAGGTTTTTGAGCGAGAAAGCTTAATGCATTAAAGGGATAGTTCACTGTTAGTAAAAAAAAATAAAATAAAAATTCTCAGCCTCATGTCGTTTGAAACCCACATGACTGACTTTTTTCTTGGAACACAAAATTAAATGTTAAAGACTGACAGATTCAGTAACCGTTCGTTTTATTTTCCATAGCGTTAAATTGAACGGTGGCTGCGGCTGTCATCCTGCATTTCCGTTTTGGTACAGACTTGAAACAAGATACAATCTCTATATTTGGGTGAACTATTCCTTTAACAAGCTAAACAATATGGATGCTGAGCGCAGAACTGGGAGATTAAAGGCTCTAAATCTCCAAACCCCGTCAGTCAACACGGGACCGTTTGGCCTCCATCAGCATTGAAACTCGTCCCACCAGGCTGTCATCAGTATTTGCGGTTATTCGTTAGATTTGCGTTGCTGCTCAATCTCAAACAGTGGTTTGCTTTCTAATCCTCATAGACAACATACTGCCAGCTGTCACTGGCTTTCCTGTTTCTTGACAGATAAGTGAGAGAAGTGATAGGCCCTTGACTCTATATTGCTATCAAGTCTTTGAGTTGTAATTATCTAGCCTGCTATTAATGTGTATGATTTTTGATTGATGGGTATAATTTTATAGGTGTGTGTTTTTGTTTGTGTGTGTGTTGTGTGTGTGTGTGTGTGGTCACATGAGTTCTGCATTGTAACTCATGACACTTAACCACCTCTCTACTTTGTACTTTCTCTTTCTCCTAGAGTTCAGCTCAGTGTACATCAACTGCTACTGCTAATTGTTCTTGATTGTAAATTTAACAAAGAAGTGATTATGCGATTATAGAAGTTGTGCTGAGCAATTTAAAGGGATAGTTCACCCAAAAAAATTAAAATTCTGGCATCAATTACTCACACACATCAGAAATGTAGCAGTGAGGCTTTTTTTTTTTTAACAATGGAAGTCAATGGTAACCAAACCTGATTTGTTACCGAAAATCTTAAAAGCATTTTCTTTTAAATACCACAGAAGAAAGTAATATGGGTTTGGAACATGTGTGAGTAAATGTTGAAATTTTTTTTATTTTTTATTAATGCTTCAACATTTCCATTGAACTGTAACATGTAACTGAATTCTCTTGCTTGCTGTGTTTCAATGTTTTTTTTTTAGCTTGTTCTAGTTGTTTGAGTTTCTGCTACCATCAGTCCTGTTTTTTCATCTTTGTGCTTTGTCCGAAGTGCTCAGTCTCCCACATACTTCTGTTGTCATAGCCTGACAAATCTCAGTTTTGAATACTACTGTCGGTTGGCTGTCCATTTTGTCCTACATTTGTTTCTAAATATTGCTGCATAACTCTTGAGTGGTCCTTCTCATTCAGAAGACCTGCTGAAAGCACCATCTGTAAAAAAAAATGGATAATGTACTGGCAGAAAATTACCAGGACATTTTCTGTTAAATTTACGGACATTTCCTTAAACTTTAAAACAAAAAATTCTGTAGATTTACATTATCTTCTGTACCATAAATGGACAATCCGTTATGCAGAAATTTCTACAAAATTATAGCATAGGCCTGTCTTTAATAGCAAATAAATCCAGCACAATATATACAAATTGAACATGGTTTATTTTTACCTCATGTAAACATTCTTAAAGGGGTCATATGATATGATGTTGCTAAAAAGAACAGCATTTGGTGTATTTTGTGTAATGAAATGTGTTTATGCGGTTTAAGGTTCAAAAAACGCATTATTTTTCACATACTGTACTTTATTGTTTCTCCTCTATGCCCCGCCTTTCTGAAACGCGTCGATTTTTACAAAGCTCATCGGTCTGAAAAGCGAGGTGTGCTGTGATTGGGCAGCTATTCAGTGCGTTGTGATTGACCCTAATACCTCAAGCGTGTGACGGAAATGTTACGCCCCTTACCATACTGTGATGCCCTGTCCGGCCGGAGGGACGAGACATAAACATGAAAACCCATTATAAACGAAACGAGGCATTCGTTGCATCCAGTGGGGACATAATTCTGGATTATAATGACTTGTACTGTCTTTTTGCGCGTTGCGTTGCATCATAAAACCATGTCTGCATTTGTGATCTGAGAAATGACAAACAACAAGTGCTACTCTACACTGCCCAAAAAACTCGCTTTAAATATAAAAAACGTACTTAGTCTCTGAGTCAGAACAGCTGGCATTGTAGTCTACTCTCCCAGGATCAGGAAACGGTCCTCAATAAAATGTGCTGCACACATCTGAATATTTGGTTTGAAGTTAGGGCTGTCGCGGTGAGGGAATTTCCCTTGCGGTCATTTTGTACCATGCTATTGAGCATTCCCTTGCTCAATAGCATGGTATGCAGTATTATCGCCATACACACGCACACACACACACACACACACATATATATATATATATATATATATATATATAGTCTGTGTGTTTGTGTTACGATATAACTAACGAGGTCATATTCAGAAACCAATGAAACCGAAACCAAATAGCGTTGAAACAGGAAGTAAACAGAAGAGAATGACAAAATAACGGTCCACATAACAGAACATGAACCTGACAATAAGATCGTTAGTCTATCGTTAGCCTATATGTATAACAGTTAGTTCTGATCTGATCTTCTAATCTGACTGGACAAGAGACTTTCTATTGATATTTCCACCAAAATGGAAAGTGCGCATTCTAGACGGACTGTCAGTCAGTGCAGTTACAGTGTTGCGCCACATGGTGGTGGAAAGGGACTGTCTTTGAGTGAGTCTTTAAACCGTTCATTCAACTACACGTTAAAAAATGCTGATTCATTCATTCAAAGAGAGACATAATGAAACGCGCTGTTGAAACCATTTTAACTGAGCACCACTTTAGAAGGCTCAGCTGACCAGCTATGCGTCGATGCTAAGACAGAGATTTTGCTTTCCTTGGACATGACAACCTATTTTCACAAATATATATGACTCGGCCTGGAGGACAGATGCAAGTAATCAGACAGAAAAAAGAAAACATGAGCAGGAACTTGTATAATATTGGTGTTGCACCAAATAGTGGTCACAAAGATAAACTTCACTGTGAAACAGTCAAGATTCAAAATATTTTAAAATACATTGGAAAAAATAAATACAGACAGGGCTGTCATTAATAATTGCTATAGACTTATAGTCATTAGTCAAGTGAAATGTTCCAGTGTTGACACCATTTTTCTATAGGAGAACACAATATTATTTAAAAGGACAGTTCACCCAAAAATTTAAATTCAGTAATCAGTTACTCACCCTCATACCGTTCCAAATCCATAAGAATTTTATTCATCTTTGGAACAAAAATTAAGAGTATTTTTAATGAAATCTCTATGCTTTCTGTCCCTCCATTGGCAGCCTATGCAACTACCATTTCAAGGTCCAATAAGGTATAGCTCTCAGATTTCATTAAAAAGGATCTTCATTAGCGTTCCAAAAATGAACAAAAGTCTAACAGGATTGGAATGAGATTTTTCATATAATATTTTGGGTGAAATAACCCTTTAAATTAGATTACTAACCTCTAATTTGTGCTAAATTATCTGCATCTCCAATTGACATGGTTCTGCAAAAATACTTTCTTGTACAGTATTTGAAATTATGGAACAGATTCATGCACTCATGCCTCATAGTTCAATGTTAAACTAGGAGAACTACAATCTTAATTAAGAGCAGGGCTCCAAGTGTTTGTGTGCTTTTAGTATGTCTTGCCATGTGCCAATTTGAGGAAACCACTTTTTTTTTCCATTTCTTTGTTCGGTCCAAGGTCCATGTTGAGATTTGAAAAAAAAGCTCAAATTGTACATAGATTCTTGAAGTTGTTCATACATGAGTCTTGGAAGCGTAGCCATTTGGTTCCCTTCATCTGAACCTTTGACCCTTGTTCAGGATTTCTTCACAGGAAGACTATAAATGACAAGAAATGAAATTAATGAAACTGAAGTACAAATGAAAATTCTGTCATTAGTTACTCACCCTCATGTCGTTCCAAACCCGTAAGACCTTCGTTCATTGTCAGAACACAAATTAAGGTATTTCTGATGAAATCCGAGAGCTCTCTGACCCACAGTGCATGCGTGTGGTGCTGCTGACGTAGACCCCGCATACGCTGCACCTTGTTTCCTGGCAAATGAACGCACACGCATGTGTCGTGGACTCGTGGTACTCTCTTTAATGGCAGCAGACTCTCCCAGGAGAGAAGAAATCGTTGAATAAAGTTGAACAACTGATGTCACATGGACCATTTTAACAATGTCCTATATACTTGACCATGGTAGGACCCTTGCTGTCCTATTGGGGTCCTATTATGCTTTTTCACTTTTTCAACTTTAGTCTGTTAGTCTGTAATGTTGCTGTTTGAGCATAAAAAAGATCTGCAAAGTTAGAAAGTTCAAAGTCCACTTCAAAAGGAAATATTTTATTTAACAGAAGTCACTTTTCAAAAACTACAACGAATGACTCGTTTGGACTACAACGCACATTTTCCGGGATTTGTGATATCACAAATATCGACGAATGGGACGAGACCTGGTTGAGCTGCACTAGAGAAGGCAACGAGTGTTATCACACACATATGTCAGAGGCACGCTAGCTTTCCCAAGGCAGACAAACTTGGAGTGGTTACAATTATCCGGGTTTAAATCTCGCTCAAATTGATTTGATTTTGACACAATATTTACACTGAAGCTCGCAGGCGGCTATGGTAAGGGGCGTGACATTTCCCGACCAGGTGCCGAGTGCTGCCAATCACAGCACCCACACTGGCCCAGCTAACCAATCACAGCACACACTGGCCCAGTTAACCAAGCACAGCACACACTGGCCCAGCTAACCAATCACAGCACACACTGGCCCAGTTAACCAAGCA